GGTAGGCCAGTAGAAGGTTTGCCCTCCCAATGCCTGTGTTGCTCATCTTATGACATCGACCACGCCATGATGTGTAAGAAAGGGGGCTTCGTATGCATGAGGCATGACGAATTAAGGGACCTAACAGCAAATTTACGGAAAGAAATCTGCCACGACGTCACGGTGGAACCGCCTTTCCTTCCATTGGACGGCGAGAACCTCCGTCACAGGATTCCAAACACATCCAAAGAAGCCCGTGTAGACGTCAGTGGTCGAGGATTCTGGACGCGGGGACAGCGAGCCTTCTTTGACATAAGGATTTTCGATCCAATGGCTGCATGTCACCGTAACCTAGCTCTCGATGCTGCACACAGGAGGAACAAGAATGACAAAATCAGGGCATATGGGGAGAGAATTCTGAATGTTGATCAGGGCAGCTTCACTCCTCTGGTGTTCACAGCCTCTGGTGAGATGGGACCAAATGCAAGATGTTTCTACATTATGCCAGACTCACGGAGGTGTTATCTGAGCGGAAGCAGCAGCCAAGAAGTTAAGTTACAGCCTGGTTGAGGTGTCGACTGTTCTTCTCTCTGCTTAGGTTTGCATTTCTTTGCCTCAGGGGAACGAGATCGTCGGCCCCCAAAGCCGACAAAGGTCGCAGATATTGACTATGAGGCAACAGTCACGGAATGTCGCATAGATCTGCGGCTCAACTAACTCAACACAGCTAGGGTAGCTACTTATGTATTAGGATGGTTGATTTTTAGGTAATAAAATGGCGGCGAAGGTGTGACTATTAGGGTAAGCTGGAAGCCAGGTTTTTTAATGAAGTGAGTGGTTACTGTAAAACATATAGTGTCTCTTGTCTAGGTCCAGTGTTGTTTATCAGGGTGTGAGGAGGAGGAGGGGTGTAGCGGCCATCTTCACCTTCTTGTCCTTTTCTCATTTCCCAGGAAACGAGACAAACAAGATGAGAGAAAGAGAGGTTATGAGAGGAAGAGAGAAGAGGAGATAGATGATGAGGAAGAGAAGAGGAGGAAGAGGATGAGGAGGAAGAAATGAGAAAAAACACAGGAGGAAGAGAGGAGCGAAAGAGAAGTAGGAAGGGAAGAGAAAAAGAAGACAGGAGAAAAGAATGAAGAGACGATAACGGGAAGAAGAGGAGGAAGAAGAAATGAGAAGAGGAGAAAGAGAGGAAAAAAGAATGAAGGACAGAGAATAAACACTTCCTCAACACAATGACGCTCTGGGTAGTAACACAGGGCTGATAATGTGATACCCAATTTAAAATAGAAAAGGTATTCAGTGCGGCATCAGGTGAATCTCATTTGTCATTGTGTTATGTATGCTTCTATCAGGTAATATTGTGGTGCTCTCTCTCTCTCTCTCTCTCTCTCTCTCTCTCTCTCTCTCTCTCTCTCTCTCTCTCTCTCTTGCTCTCGCTCTCTCTCTCCTTATTTCTGTTTATCTCTTTCTTTATCCATACATAGCTCCAGTGGCCAGTTTGCATAACGCGTCACTAACACACTACAACACCTTGAAGTTTATATATATATAATCCTTGTCTCAGAGCCGCCTACCTACGAGTACTATTTCAAGGCGAACTTTTCCGGATTTACTTTGTGATGTTTGTATTAATTGTATGTAGTGACTTGAAATAACACATTAGAATGAAAAATGGTATTCTGAAATAATTAATTAATACATATATACAGCAGAATATATTTCTCAACAAACAGAATAATTAAAAGAATGCAGTTTTCCGGATACACTTTGACAATTTGATAACTAATACACCATGTTTCTTAATTAACGTCTACGGTTTTTTCTCAATATTTTTTACTAGTTATAATAGTTCTTCGTCTGTTTCTTGTGTTTCGTTTGATGTTAAAAAGAAAATACGGATTTAAGACGAGTCATTCCGTGCACTGTGTAAACAAACATTAGCATACCGTCAATTAATTCAATAGTTAGTATGACACCTGTGCTCTCTCTCTCTCTCTCTCTCTCTCTCTCTCTCGCTCTCTCTCTCTCTGAGATTCTCTGGTAAGGCAAACTACTATTTTCCTTAATAAATCCTCCTTTTTAGTTAAAATGGGACTGTAACTGCATGACATGGTTGAAGGATAGAGCTACTGTAATGGCCCTTGTTTCATAAACAGAAGAATTATAGAAATGGGTTAATTACATTTGATTTATATACTGATTCATCCCCTGTAACTTTCCACTAGCTATGAGGTGACATGTTCAATGCACGTGATAAGGTGTGCCCACGGGAAGCCGCGTCATATTATGCTGAGTTAAGGCATTTAGTGACAGGCTTTCTGGCCACCCAAAGCGAGCAGTAGTTTGATATCCTTGACTAGAGGAAGACGTTATTTGAGAGTCGTCGTGGATGGCTCCGTCTTCCCTCGAGGGAGGACGACGAGCCTATTCCGTTCTCCCTCGATGGGCCATTACTCATAGCAGTCACACTCATAATCTTTCATCGAACAGACGTGATTAAACGGTCTATTTACATAGCCGCCGTCCTCTCCCTTCACTCTCATGAATAGTGGAAGTTAAGGTTGATTTACACTCAGGAATTATATAAACAATATTTTTTCAATAAAAGAAGAAACAACAATTGGGTTTCTCTACTCTTACCCAATATAATATATGTCTAGTCCCATATACTTTATGGCTAGTTAACTACGCCTATTGGCGTTCACGCCGACTATTTTGTTAATGTTGTTGGACTATAAAGTGTTCCACTAACCTTGTTACGAGCTTAAAGATTTCCTTGTTGAAGCGCAGTAATAACATTATAACAACCCCCTACCTCTCTCTCTATCTCTCACGAACAAGAGTGAGATAGTGGACTGTAGGATACGCCGGAGAGAGAAAGAGACAGACAGACAGGTAGAGAGAGAGAGAGAGAGAGAGAGAGAGAGAGAGAGAGAGAGAGAGAGAGAGAGTCTTGAGGTGAAGGAGGAATTTCCCTTCTTTTGTAACTAAACATTTGTGTCACGGCGTTCTCGTGGTGTCTAGGAACATGAGCAACAGATGTAGGTGTTCACAAAGGCCTTAAATATATTATGTGAACAGTGCAATCCCGCAAATGTTACGACAAACATTTTACACACGTTGTAATACACTGTGAACAACACCATCTGCTTGCTGCTCGGGACCCCAGACACTTCGGCATAAACGTCTTACAACATAAAATAAATTAGGTACCCGGAGTATTCTTCCCAGACAGATTTACTCAGTAGTTACGACACATTTGGGAAGGTCTATTTTTTTCACGTTGATTTCTGAGTCGTCCAAATTTGTATTCTTAAAGATTCACACGTGACATTTAAACCCCTCCCTCCTCCCCCCCCACACCTTACTACTTCTAAATGACTCGCTTCAACAACTACATAAAGTTTGGTGATACTAAATGGAGCCGAAGATATTTACTGATACTCTACCATAATCAAATATATTCATCATTAATTTTCTAGTTAGGGATGAAGAAATGAGCTAGTATTGTAGACTGAAAATAAAATAACGTGGGGCAAATCTTCCTCATGGTCGTATATAGTATACTTGAAGAGCCGAAGACACAGTCGAGGGGAAACTCCTTGTATACAAAAAAAATCCTCTTTCTATGCATTAATTTCCTTCACTATGGGAAGAGGAAACAAGAACAATTCACTTCATTAGAACACCCAAACCACCCTATCCTAACCATGACTTTCCCGCTGTGACTCCTCTTTCGTTAATGTATACAAACAATTACACTGTCATCAAGGTCATTTAACATGGTAATACCGCCCACTGCACCAGCCTGGACGATATCATTCTCCAGGACCGACAACCAGAGGGACTTATAATGACATTGTGCCAGACATCGTAAAATTACAAAACTGGATATAATGCTATGTAACAGTGAGTATAATGTTACAACAGTGACTAAACTGCTGCGTAACTGGATATAATGCCACGTACCAGTGGATATAATGCTACGTAACAGTGACTATAATGCTACGTAAGTGACTATAATGCTACGTAAGTGACTATAGTGCTACGTAACAGTGACTATAATGCTACGTCACAGTGACTATAATGCTACGTCACAGTGAATACAGTGCTATGTAACAATGAATATAATGCTACATAACAGTGAACATAATGCTACGTAAGTAACTATAATGCTACGTAAGTGACTATAATGCTACGTAACAGTGACTATAATGCTACGTCACAGTGACTATAATGCTACGTCACAGTGAATACAGTGCTATGTAACAGTGAATATAATGCTACATAACAATGAATATAATACTTTCATATCGGGTGAAGGCTACACTGTAACAGTCCTTACTTTTTATACATTTTTGATGCTTTAATAACAAACAACTTTCAGCTAATAAAAAATGTAACTAGAAAAAATGAGAAATGGTAAGATTTATTGAAAAAGAATTATAGTGTTTCTCATCACAAGGTCGGAAATAACTCTAACTGACATCACTCCTTCCCTCCCCTTTACCACCGCACCTTTATGTAATCAAGATCTATTTCCTCCCCATATACCCGTGTAGGTTTCCCTCAGCGTGGCAACTTGACAATTACGGAAAAAACTATCGTAAACATACTCAGACATAACAGAAAAAACCCGCTATATATCATGAACGCAACGCGATGAGGGAAACTCATATTTTTTTATATTTTTTATAGCGAAATTTGGTTAATTTTTGGGTGGAACCTTTCTCTTTTCTTTATAAAGAACTTATCAAATCATCAAAGTGAAAATGAAACGAATTTCGTTTGTCATTAAGAGGGCCAACATGACGAGTGGTACATGCCAAACTTTCTACAGTTTTAGCACACCTGTTACACCTTATATAAAGTTCTCTAAAGTTTCATTTTGCTTTTCCTTCAGAGTATATCACCGTCTAGGAAAGAAAACTTACCAACATAACTTAAATATAGACAAAACAAAAGGAGATAATAATAAAATTTTGAGCAAAGAGACGAGTTGTCAGGTTACGTACGGGAGTGAGGGAGGCGGAGAGGGTATGTGGGGAGGGAGCGTGGTGCTGTCGGTATCCCGCGCGCACCTTACTCACTGTATCGGGCCGCGGCTGGCACCACACTGAACCACTCATCCAGTCAACCCCACCCACCCACCCAGCTACAGTAGTGCCTGGCAATCGCCCATGTGTCACGCTGGGCCACCTGTGTCATAATAATCGCCCCTCTGGTTTGCTGCGGTAACATCACGTCCTTCAAGACAAAAACACACGCGTTTGTAATGAAGGAAATACTGTTTTGTGTGAACAAGATATTCTCTTATTCGGAAAAAATCTTACTCCTCACTCATTAGGAAGCATTTTAGTAGTAAGTTTAGTCCATCAGCATTACTGAATCATTGATATAAAAATGCAGCATATTTTTTTTCAGAAAATTTTTAGGGAACTTACCGAAAGAACATTTTTGAAGAAAATGCTTCAAAAGTGTTCTAAAAAAGTTCTTAACAATTTTCTTCAATAGATGTTCTAACCCAGGCATGGGCAACCCATAGCCCATGGGCCGCGGTTCAGGTAGATGCAGCCAGTTTTACTGGGAATATTCCACCAGGGCACAGGTCATCGACTGTAAAGGCCTGGGACTTAGGGATAGAAATCCCTTACCAGGCTAATCAGGATCTTAATATAGGAAAGTCAAGGACCATGGTTTTCCGAGGAATAACAAACAACCGTTAGAGATTGGCATCTCTTTACTATAAAAACAACACAAAACTCTGACACCACTCAACAATCATCAAATAATTACGGGAGTCAAACAATTAATGGAAGCAACAATTAAAGGAATCAAACAAATAAAGGGGAGTCAGCAATTAATGGAATCAATCAATTAAATGGATTCAACAATTGATAGTATCGAACAATAAAAGGGGAGTCAGCAATTAATGGAATCAAACAATGAACAAATATTTCCTACGGCAGTGGCCCTGGGGAAGGTTCTGGAACACGGTGATGCACACTCAGGGCAGGGAAGCGTCCATTCACTCCACACTCAGCAACGTCTTGAAAAGGCAGGAGAACACCGGGGCACCGACGGAATGTGATGAATTGATGGTCGTGGTATGCGGTAGTGGTAGATGACCAGAGAGTTGGCAGTTGATAGGTGAAGGTCTGGGAACACAGCCCACGAGTCCAGGACCTATGATGAGATCACAGCCAGAATTTGACGGACATCAGGGTAGCTAGATACTGACGGTATGGCGGCTGGGTTGAATCTCCGGCGGCGGAGAGGGTTGCTGCCGTTATCACCTCCGTCCAACCACCCCAAGTGTCGTCTGCACCAGCAAACGAGCGAGTTAGCAGCGGTAACTAGCCGGAGGATCGTTTCTGCCCTTACATCGACCCACACCGGGAGCTTGGGGGCAAAAAAATAGGAGTAAAAAGAAATTAAAAATAGGAGAGAAAAAGACTACTATATTAATCTACACCACGAAGATGCCAGAAAACCAGATTTTTGAAGTGAGACAGATTGTAAGAGTATGAAAACACAGAAGAAGACAAAGCATTTCAGTTTGGTTGTGAGGAAAGAAGGATGTACAGTCTCATTCAAGATTCTTCGAACACTGCTGGAGACAGCTGGCAACTCAAGGCAGTTTGTTTACTATAGTGTGTAACCATTAATTAAGCATCAGGGAACTAAGTAACCAATCACCGAAAACCTTCTACATTCATTCATAATTTTTACTACGTACTATAGTAAACAAACGGCCTTGAGTTGCCAGCTGTTTCCAGCAGTGTTTGAAGAATCTTGAACTAGACTGTACTATGGTATCGAGGGGAAAGTTTTAAATTGGATAAAATCATGGCTCACCGATAGAACGCCGAGGGTCAGCGTAGATGGTGTTAAATCTGAGTGGGGCCGTGTAACCAGTGGGGTTCCCCAGGGGTCAGTACTAGGCCCACTCTTGTTCATAATCTACATAAACGATCTAGATCAGTGGTTCCCAAACTTTCTCTGATCATTACCCACTTTTCATATATGATCCTTATCCATGGCCCCCCTCTCCCAATCCATATCTCTGGCTGGCTCAGCTGCTGGCTGTTCCCAGTTTGGGAACCAGTGATCTAGATACTGGGATCAGCAGTGACATAAACAAGTTTGCGGATGACACCAAAATAGGGCGGCAAATTAATTCAGGGCAGGATGCAAATGCATTACAGGAGGATCTAAATAAACTGCAGGGGTGGTCTGAAAAATGGCAAATGAAATTCAACACCAGCAAGTGCAGCGTACTTAATATTGGAAGAACAAATATTTATAATGTATACAGCCTTAACAACATCAACCTAGAGAAGTCGACTTGTGAAAGAGACCTAGGGGTACTTGTAAGCCCGGACCTACGGCCTAGAAAACAGTGCGTTAATGTTCGAAATAAGGCAAACAGAGTATTGGGTTTTATATCTAGAAGTGTAAGTAACAAGAGTGCAAAGGTCTTATTGCAACTATATCTTGCGCTAGTCAGGCCACACCTCGATTATGCGGTTCAGTTCTGGTCCCCGTATTATAGAATGGATATAAATTCACTAGAGTCGGTGCAGCGAAGAATGACAAATGATTCCGGGACTTAGAAACCTTCCATATCAGGATAGGCTAAAGAAACTTAACTTGCATTCCCTAGAAAGACGAAGAGTGCGGGGAGATATTGTGGGGTATGGGTTGGTTGCAAGCGTTGAGTAGAGAGAGCTGGTTGGTGAGGGTGCTCAGAGGAGGACAGCTTATGGGTCGCCATGCTCGCCGGCGGGAGCGAGGACCGCCAGGCAGGCGGAGGAGGAGGAGGTGTTGCTGGCTGGTTGGTGTAGGTAGAAAGAGGAGAGATCACTACGAGGTCAGGTCTTAAATAGCGGGGGTTGGCGTGGCTTAGTAGTTGACCCCCGCTCCGTGGGCGGCGCTGGTTGACCTAGACCACGAGGCACACACTGTGGAATTCGCGGGGTCGGCTATGCAGCGACAAACAGCGTTTGTAGGGGAGAAATCCACTACAATACTCCCTCCTTCCCTCCAGGCGGTGTAGGAGACTTGTTGTCTGCAGGGTTGCATAGCACATGTGAGGCAGAATGGGCGGTGCATGCCTCATGTGAGACAACGGCGATGGCGTGGATGAGCTGGCCGCTAGAGACAACTGTCTAGATACACAATATCTGAGGGAGTAGAGAGGGAGAAAAAGGGTGTGTGGAGGCGATGAATGTTGTGCTTCCCTCACGGCAGGTACAGAGTCGTCAGATGCGCCTGCTAGGGTGTGTGGGCCTGGGTCAGGAGCAGGGGCTGCGTCAGCAGAAGCGGATGAGGGCTCGTGACAGCAGCTGGGTCCACGACAGCAGCAGGGTGCAGGACATTAGCAGGGAGTACCTGAGGGAGAAAAGAGGGGTGTGTGGGTCCGCACTCAGGAGCAGGGGCCGCGTCAGGAGAAGCGGCAGGGGGTACTGCTGGGCCGGGGCGGCGTCTGAGGCAGGACTGGTGTGTTGGGGTCGGTAGGACGTGGAGCTTGGGGCAGGAAGAGGAGCTGGTGTCTGCTTAGAGAAGCAGTGCTGCTCTAGGGTGTCTAACCTGCGGTGTAGAGACAGTAGTTGTAGAGCCGATGAGAGTTGCTTCTGTGTGAATAAGCCAGTCTTCCATGTTGCTTGAAGACTGGGAGCGTGATCAGTTTCTCCTCCATCCTGTGTGAGTGCGAATCTCCGGGGATCACCATTTGTGGGGTATGTGATGTTTTGGTTCGCACTCAGGATGGGATGGAGAAAGGAAGCTCACAATGTGCTCTCATGTATACATGTTGTATTGGATGTACAATGCAGCTTGGTGCTGGGAAGGCAGCATGGTTACAAGCGTGATGTAGAGAGAGCTGGTTGGTGAGGGTGCTCAGAGGAGGACAGCTTGTGGGTCGCCATGCTCGCCGGCGGGAGCGAGGACCGCCAGGCAGGCGGAGGAGGAGGAGATGTTGCTGGCTGGTTGGTGTAGGTAGAAAGAGGAGAGATCACCACGAGGTCAGGTCTTAAATAGCGGGGGTTGGCGTGGCTTAGTAGTTGACCCCCGCTCCGTGGGCGGCGCTGGTTGACCTAGACCACGAGGCACACACTGTGGAATTCGCGGGGTCGGCTATGCAGTGACAAACAGCATTTGTAGGGGAAAAATCCACTACAATATGATAGAAGTATTTAAGTGGGTGAAATGAATCAATAAAGGGGATATAGATAAAGTGCTTATAATATCCGAGCAGGATAGGACTCGGAGCAACGGATTCAAGTTGGATAAGTTTAGGTTTAGGAGGGAGATAGGAAGAAACTGGTTCACAAATAGGGTGGTGGACGAGTGGAACAAGCTTAGCAAATTTGTAGTAAGTGCGGGAACTCTGGAAAGTTTCAAAAGGAGGCTAGATAGATTCATGGATGATAGAGAGTGGTAGTAACTCTCGACAGGAGCTGCCATGCACAGGTCAACCGGCCTATTGCAGACTCCTTATTTTCTTATGTTCTTATGTTATAACGGGTTATTCTAGTGTGACCGACATCCACAGAGAAACGGTGGGCACCGCGGACAAGACGAGTGTTAAGAGCCTACGGCCTTGCCGGCTGTACACAGATGCCAAATCCACCGAACATTGCCCGTTAAAGTGTGGGGTACGAGATGTTTGTGTTCACACTCAGGATGGGATGGAGAAAGGAAACTCACAATGTGCTCTCTGTATACATGTTGTAAGGGATGTACAATGTAGCTTGGTGCTGGGAAGGCAGCATGGTTACAAGAGTGATGTAGAGAGAGCTGGTTGGTGAGGATGCTCAGAGGAGGACAGCTGGTGGGTCGCCATGCTCGCTGGCGGGAGAGAGGGCCGCCAGGCAGCGGCGGCGGAGGTGATGTAGTTTGCTGCGGCTGTAGCTAGAAGAGAGTGGTCACCACGAGGTCAGGTCTTAAATAGCGGAGGTAGGCGTGGCTTAGTAGTTGACCTCCGTCATGTAAGGCGGCGCTGGTTGACCTAGACCACGAGGCATACACTGGGGAATTCGCGGGATCAGCTACTCAGCGACAATCAGCGTTTGTAGGGGAGAAATCCACTACAAAAGTACCTGTAAAAGAGAGAGAGTGAAGCAATATTGCAGCGAAGAGAAGGAGAAGAGAGATTATCAACTAAAGGAGGAGAGTTAATAAGACGAAATGCCTTTGATTCCACCCTATCTAACAGTTGGATAGAAGAGGAGCCACCACAGATATGAAAGCAGTACTCCAAGTTAGGACGAATGAAACCCTTACAAACTTGAAGCAACTGCTCAGGAGTGAAGTAGCTACGGAATCTGTACAGCATTCCCAGCTTTCGGGAGGCAGCTTTAGCAATGTTATGAATGGAGTAAAGCAATACTTATTCAAAGAATAATCTTCACACACAATTCATTGCTGTTTCATCACTTAAGAGTAAGTAAACACAAACACGTGACAGCACAATGAGTATAAATAGTTAACAGTATAAACATTTTAACTTTGTGAATTTACTGGCCAAGTTCACCGTGTAAGGTCACTTGGGAATTAACCAAGATTGGGTAAATCCAAGTGGGGTCACGGTGGTGGTTACAGGGGTCAAAGGTAAAGTTCTCTTCCTTGTTGACAGACTCTCTCTCTCCATAGTACCCCATTCTTCATGCCTGACTGACTGTTCTATCTATTTATTTTCTTGTCTGACAATTAAGTTTGTGAACTCATGCTACAGGCACCGGTACGTACCCTACTGAGGATCGGCGCTGTGGTCCCCTTCAAAGTATTCCCCTTGCGATGCTATACATGAACGCCAGCATTTCTTCCACCACTGGAAAACATTTCTGGAACTCACTTTCTGGAATAGCTTTTATAGCTGCCGCCGCGCGACTCTGAATGTCATCCACGTGTTGAAAATGCGTCCCCTTGATGCGTTTCTTCAGCGAAGGAAATAAAAAAAAAGTCACACGGGGTCACGCCAGGTGAATAAGGAGGGTGTTCCAGTAAGGCAATTTGTTTCTTGACCAAAAAGTCCCACACAATCAACGCCGTGTGAGCTGGGCCATTGTCATAATGGGAGGTCCACTTGTTTCCAGTCAAAAGTTCTAGGCTTTTTTGTCTTTTAAGCACATCGAGTTAGTAAAACTGGTTCACACCTTGCCGAGGGAAGAAATTCTTTGTGAACTACACCCTTAGAATCGAAAAACAGTGATGAGCATTGTTTTCACATTAGTGGCACTTTTTGAGCGCAGCGAGTTTGCAATTTTCCACCGAGAGCTCTGGCGTTTCGT